TAACATTGATGATAACCTTATGAAAAAAGGCCTCATCATCTGTACCGTAAGAAGGTTTTTTATTTTGACCAGAGTTGTTTTGCCACATAACTTCAACAAGTTCTTACTCAACTAACGTAGTCAGAAGTTCAGCATTGAAAAGGCTTTCTTTTATGAAAAAAGAAACCAAAGGACAACTCTATGCTGGGTTTGACAGTCGATGATATAAAAGATATTTCCTCTAATTTTAGTAGTATTTCTTTTACTCATGTGCGACGGTTTGCGAATCGAGTGGCTCATGATCTTGCAAGAGTTGTTGTTTCCAAGGGCGGAGGCGGAGGGTGGCCTACCGGGTCACGGCCCATCCCAAATTTTAAAATTGCTTATATTTTTAATGTAAGAATTTATGTGTACAAATTTATCTGTAAAAATTCTTTATACCGGCCCAGTCTAACTCTTACTCCTGACTACGCTCCTGGTTGTTTCTTTGTCTAATCGTCAAGTTTGGCTTTTTAATTATCCCACTATTACGATTTCCTTGCACCATGCTTTTATTAATTAAGGTGAACTAGTTTTCTTTAAAAAAAAAGATGTTTAGGCAAAGAGAGGGAAGGCGGGGCAATACCGAAAGAAGAACATGCCTCCAGATAAAAAATATGAAGTGCAAAATTTGGAGATGGGAAGATGTCTAAAGGTTAAGTATATTTAGAGCTCGTTTGGTAGCACGGAAATCGGCTGTTTTGGCTGATTCTGCTGAAATTCCTGAAGTTCTGGCTGAAGTGGCTGTATTGGCTGATTCTGCTGATTTAAGAAACAATTATTTTTAAAATATATTTTATTAATAAAATAAAGAAAAAATTATATGTAAAAATAGCTAAAATGGTCATCTACAGTGACTTCAGCCAAAACAGCCAGAAAAGTAACTCCAACCTTACTTTTTCTGCTTATTACACAACTCAGCGCGCGAAAGTAAAAGTTACGTGTTTGGTGAAAAAGTTGGCTGATAAGCCTGATAAGCCAAAAAACAGTGCTGCCAAACAGCCTCTTAAAGTTAGGCATGACATGACTTGGGCTAGGGCTGGGTCCGAAAAATCGAAAACCGAATCAAATCATACCGAACCGTAGCCAAATAAAACCGAACCGCTAACAAACCGAAACCGAATGTAAAAAACCGAACCGAACCGTAGTTGTTTGGTTCGGTTTTGGTTTTTACTCTTCAAAACCGAACCGAACAAACCGAACAAGTTAAAATATAAAATTTATTTGTCCATTGTTAAGCATTAATCCTAATTCCTAACTAATCCTAATATCATTAATAGTTTTTGATTTTCTTGTGCTAGAGAAATAATGTTTTTTATGTTAAGTTTAGTTTATGAATTCATTTACACATTCAATTCATTGCACGTAATAATGTAGCTATACTGATAATATGTTTTTACTTGTTATTAGTATTAATTGACTTTTATTTTTATTTAACTTAAATAATTCGTATTGATGAAACAATAAATATTTATCTCAACTATATCACATATAACGTATATACTCATGAACTTTTTTTGAACTAGTCACAAACAATGTAAATTAATAATATATACTTTTATCTCTTTCGCATACTCATATAATTTTATGACATATTTATATATTTTTATTTTTATTTTATTTGTTGTAGTGTGTTTGCATTCTTTATGTAATATATGTTTGATCCCTCAAAGTATTATATCAATTTTAAATCAAATGATAATTTTTTGGTAAAAACCGAAACCGAATCGAAACAAACCGAACCAATTAAACCGTGGTTCCAAGTTTTGGAGTATAAAACCAAACCGAAACTGAACCGAACTTTTGAATTTGATTCTATATTTGGTTTTATGTCAAAACCGAACCGCAAGAACCGAACTCACCCCTAACTTGGGCGGATAGTGCGGAATTCAAACCTGACACGTGACTTTAATATGTTGGTCATTAGTGCGAAGTAAGGGTCATTATATGTGTTATCTATGTGCGTGGAATCATCATAACTCAAATTTGCATAAAAATTATCCCCAAGTTATAATACAAAATAAATAAAATAACTTAAATTCATTAATGCAACAAAAGTGCCAAAAATTAAGAAAAAAATGAACTACATTTGAATTTGAGTAGTTAATCAATTTATATTAATAAAATGAGTATGTAAAATCCTACATATAAAAAGGCATTGAAAACAACTATTCATCTAGCTCAAATATAAACATTAATATTACACACATGTGTGTGCATATAAGTATCTATAAAATAATTTTAGATAAATGTATATAATGAGACGGTATGGATAATTTTATATATACACTGGGTGGGGCAAATGAGACGTATGGATCAAAATTAGTGCTTGGAGTTGCCTCATCATGTGTGCCGGGCAGATCAATAATGTTAGGTACACAAAATGTATCCATTTTTGGCACACCATAGATAAAGACCCGCCTTTCACCCCTCCCTCCCCATCTCTCTCAATACAAAAATCCCCCCTCACTCCCTGTTCTTTTTCTTCCATTTTCATTACATTCATTCACATCCACCATCACCATATTCTTCACCTTTTTTCATATCTATCAAATTCTATCTTCACCATCTTCATCTCCCTCATTCTATCATATTCCATTTTCATTTATCTCACCATATTTATCACCTCTCGTCTTCACCATCTTTCGTATATCCATCACCATCATCTTCTTTACCCTTACCATCTCCTAAGATCGGAAAAAATGAAGTTCGAGAGTCATAAGAAAATTGTTATGACACTGGTTTTTTACACTGTTTCTGCGCCCAGGAAAATTGTTAAGCGGATATAAAAATGTACAAATTACCTGTGTATAGACAACTAATATATGTGTACAAACATTAGTCTATGTATAATAACTGACGTTTCTACAAATAACACACAAAACGATGTCCATATATAGACATTAGTTGTTAGCACAGACAATTCCAACATTTTTAGTCTATTCGGAAAAATTATTACACACGAACACAAAATATACAAATTATCTATATACAGACAATTAATATATGTGCAAAAATATTGTTTTCCGTGTAACCAAACTTTGAAGTTTATACAAAATGGTACGCAAACCAATTTCCGTTTACATACATTGGTTGTCTTTACACAAATTATTTTTACATTTTTTGTATGTGTCTAGACAAAATTGTTAGCCACAAAATATTGGATAACTAATGCCTATGTACGGACGGACATTAGTTTGCATGCCATTTTGTAGAAACATAAGCATTCAGTTACACGGAAACCAATGGCCGTGCGCGGACATTAGTTGTCTCCACTAAGATAATATGTACATTTTTTTTTATCCATGCTTCATGATTTTGTATGGGTGCACAAACACTATAAAAAACCTGTGTCTGTACATATACATTTTATTCTGACGAATTTCTGTCAAATCTTAAACTTCATGTTTCTGATCCTAAAAGATGATAAATGTTAGATGATTGGTGATAATTGATATGGAATGTGGTGAAGATGGGAGGTAATGAATATGGTGAAGATGGAGATGAAGTGAGAAAGATGAAACATGATGAATGGTGAAAGTGAAAGATGATGAGGTGGAGGAGAAAAAACCGTATGGAAGGAAATAGAGAGGATGGGAAAATAAATAATGTAGTGGCGGGCAAAAATACCGAACCGGCATGGTACCGAACCGAACCGAACCGATATGGTACCGGACCGAAAAATGGGGTTTGAAACGGATCTCAATTTTTTTGTCCCGAACCGAACCGTACCGATTCTAAACAATGACATGACCGGTTCTCATAAAATGAGAACCGGTACCGGACCGAACCGGACCGAAGTATGATTCAATGATTTAAATTTACATTTATACCCTTACTTTGACACTACTGTCTTCACACTTTCACCGTCTTTGCTAATTCATAGGAAGCCTGGAATTGTACCGATGTATGGTTTAATTATTTATATTTGTACTACTATAATTTATCTGAAATTTATTAATTATGTAAAATACTACATTTATCCCAAATTGATTTGCAAAATTAACTTTTCTTGGTCAAATAGTTTCATTTTATTCACTTAACTAGAATGTCACTTTTTAATTATACGAAGTATTTAATTTGGAGCTTGCAACCTTGAAGAGATTTCAATGTAGTTTCTGAATATGTTTATTTTATTTATTAAAAAATAAATCAATTATCAATAAAGAGAATTTAACTTTAACATGGTTGACAAAAAAATTATTGACTTTGCATGTCAATTTGGGATAAAATGAGTATGAAAATTGATAAATTGTGTCGATTTTTGGAGGATGAATAAACTTTAATTCCCTCTTAAGCACTTGAAAAAAGTGGCATTGTTTGGTATTGGTATGGCATGATACCGTCCCGTTTCAAAATGAAACCGTACCGAACGGGTTTAGGTCTAAGACCGAACCGAACCGAACCGAACCGTTTGAATAGTAACGGTACGGGTACGGGTTTGGCCAAATATTGGACCGGACCGGACCGCGCCCACCCCTAGCAAAATGTGGCGAGGGAATGTGGAAAAATGTAAAATTAAAATGGTAAAAATTTAAAGTATTTATAACGTTTGCCACATGTGTATCAAATTGTGTAATAATAGCATTTTTCAGGCGGAGTAGACCCGCTCAAAGTCCCGGGACAAAGCACGTCCCAGGAGTTAGTTTTTTTGTTTTTGTTTTGGTTTTTTCTATGTCTATTTAAGATATTTTTACTTGGACTGAATTTTCTTATCCGGTTTGGTCAGATCTTATCTGGTTCGTTTCAATCCAATTTGACTTGGTCTGATATTCATATATGTTATAACTGCTAAAGTTTAGTCAAGTTTGTTGTGGTTTGTTAAAGTCCGATATAGTCTAATCTATTTAAGTTTGATACGATTTAGCATTGAAATAAAAACTCTATGTGTTGTTAGAATTCCACACCGGAAAACTTTGAATCAGCAAAGTGCTATATTAAGATATGTGTTACTCCATCCTAAAAGATCAAACTGATACGAGGTATGCTGCCGTTCGTACACAAAAACCCGGTTGCCTGATAAATAAAGTCACTAAGTCTCCTCGTTCCCGCGTACGCATGTACAAGGATTTCCCATGTACAATTTGCTAACAAGAATTGCCCATTTTGCTAACTCACAGTCATATCTGTCTTAATGACAAGTCCTGTGCAGGAGGAGCATATTTGAAGAGCAGAGTCTCGGTGAAGAAGAAGAAGAATAAAGATAGGCATGGCGGCTCAATCGTTTAAGCTTTATCGTCTGAATACCTTCTCAAACCCTCATCTTAGGTCATTGTTATCCCCAAAATCAAGGGTATTCTCCCAATCTCTTCCTATCCTATCTGTATATGTAAATGTTTGTGTATATATATGTTTGTTTCCCTGTTGCTGCATCGTTTCGTGTTCTTTTGAAGATAGGTTAGGGCGTTAGGCGGGTTTCTGAAACAATTTCATATTGCTGAGTTTTTCTTATATTTTCTGGTATGTTTATAACTGTCAGAATGGAATTGCTTGGAGAAGGATGCTCAACTCTTACTCGTCTTCTGTTGGTATATCTTACTCCCTGAGTTTGATAAAATGTTGGTCATCATTTCATTTTCATTTACCCCAGTGCCGCAAAGGCTCCCACCTACGCTGGGGTAAGGGGGTCGGATTTACGCAGCCTTACCCCTGTACTAAAGTACAGAAAGACTGTTTCCGGATGATCTATAGTGAAAATCACATCCCGAATTGCATGGACTGACTGCTGCTTCATAACAAAGAAGCGCAAACAGTTTAGTGATCCATTTTGCTTTATTCCATCATATTCTCAAGCCAAAAAATAATGAATGTTTAGCTGCATTGCAAATGATGGAAAATTCGATAAAATGTTGGTATGGTTAGTTATTTCGTATATGTATTCAGGGCTGAGAAGGTTCATTTTTTTGCTTGTTACATACTTACATTTTGTTGCAGTAATCTTTTTGTGTGGTCACTTAATCTGGCCAGATATTCAGTGATGAATGATGATAGATGAATAGCTTAGGGTTAGTTTGAGTGAAGATTTTGGAGGAGAAGATGCCTTGGAGGTGTGAAGAGATTCGTCTATATTCTATATATATTGATACACAAAATGTTTTCTAAAAAATGAATAAACGGTGATTTAATGTTATATGACCAGCTATTTTCTTATTCCCTCGACATTTCACAAAACCCCACATATATATACATCTGTTTGTTCTTGTGCGTGTGTGTGGATTTTTGGACCTACAAAACCCCTCCATCCAAACTGACCCTTAGGAATAAGTTGCCAATTTCTGGTTGTGTATGATTATTCCTCTTTGAAATAAATTGCATCTCATTGAATTTTAATTGCAGTTTGCAAGGGTAAAAATACTGTTGAGGTGTTTCATTCATTCTTCATCATATAAAATTCATTGCTATTTTTGTATCCCAAGTTGTAAATCTTTCTTGTTTTTGTGTTGAAAGGTTCAGAAATAGAACTTGATGTGGGCCACAACCATCCTGACTTTGAATATGATGAGATCATAAGCAATAATAATGCTAAAGTCTTAGCGAAAGATACTGCATTACGCTCAGCTCTCTCACATCTTGCATGCGACAATGGGACAGAGTCAATGTTATCATTACATCGTTTCTTTGGTGCTCGTTGTGCACATGTCATATCAACCGGATCAATTAATCTTGATCAAGCTCTAGGCATTGGAGGATTACCAAAGGTGATTTTACACACACACATAACAGATTGCAATATATATCATGTGTTTGCTGGCATTCTTTTTTTATTTTTTGTTTTTTCACCCGTAGCCTTTGTTTGGTTTAGGGAGGAAATAGAGAAGAGAGAAATGGGTGAGAAAGCGATGGAGAAAATAGAAATAGTAGAGAAATATAGTAAATATTGTGTGTTGATTGGCAGGAAAGAAACAGAGAAGATCTTCTTTTGTATTTTTTTCACTTTTTGGGCAGACCTCACATGTAGCCTTTGGTTTAGGGGAGCAATAGATAAGGGGTAAATGGATGAGAAAGAGATAGAGAAAAGAGAACTAGTACAGAAATTTGGTAGATATTGTTTGTTGTTTGGCAGGAAAGAAACGGAGAAGAAATTCTTTAAAATTTTTCACTTTTTTGGCCAGACCTCACATGTATTCTTTGTTTCGTTTATGGAAGAAATAGCGAAGATAGAAATGGGCAAGAAAGAGATGGGGACAAGAGAAACAGTAGACAAATATGTTAGATATTGTGTGTTCTTTGGCAGGAATGAAACAGAAACTACATGAATGAGTAAAAATGTTTTTTTTTTTAAATAGTAAAAATGGTTAGAAATACAGTTTTTTTGTTAAAGATGAAATTTTATTAAGAAACAAGAAAGATTACATGGAAAGGGAGAGTAGGGAAAACATACAATGAAGAAAATTGGAAAAAACAAGAATATTAAGAAAGCCCTCAGAGCCGCTCCATTCATCATCCCACGTGTCTTGTCCGAATCCTCGGGATTGAGATCTAGTTTTCATAGAATGCAATCGTCGTTTTTTTTTTCTGGTAGATTTTAATCTGGGTATTTAAATTGCTTGTCGGTAGGCAATTTTCCTTAGCAATTAATCTGTTTGTATCTAAGTCCCAGAGATCATCAGTAGTCAAGAGTGGGGGCCTTTTATCGCTTTCTGAGGCGTGGCCTTGAAAGTCATCCCCTGAGAAGAATCTGTCTGAATGTTCAGAATAAGCCAACATTGTGTGCATATCTATATCTCCAGATATGAAAACCTGCTCGGTCGATTTCCTATATTGAAGTCAGGGGCGGACATAGCTAATAATCAATGGGGGCACATGCCCCCAATAACTTTGTACATTTAGTTATTAATATAATAATAAAAAATGCATTAAAGAGTAGTGCCCCCAATGAAAAAAAGGATGCCCCCTGATGGAGTATATGGCCCAGGAACCCCCGACCCATAGACTCTTACTTCTCCTACACAAGCCCATTGAGCCCAGGGAGCATCTCAGGCCCAAATGCAGTGACCCAAGTCTCAAAGGAGCCCAGAATACACACTGGGGTGCCTTCGGCCCCCTTGGCCGAAGGCTCCAAATTACACAGGGCAGCCAGTTTCGAGCATACGAAGCTACTGGGAAAAACGGCAGAAACAGGAGCCTTCGGCAGTATGAGCCCTCGGCATCAGGGAAGCCTTCGGCTACACAGGGCCTTCGGCCACACGAAGCCCTCGGTCACTCGAAGCCCTCGACCCCACGAGGAGCCTTCGACTAACAGCTCCATCATCGAAGATTCCCTTTGGAGACAAGCAACCACTGCATTTAATACGACGTCACATCCACCCACCGCATTCAATGTGGTGAACATGCCACTGCCGGTGCCACCCGATTGATGTGACCCTGCGGCCGTTGGATTACTGACACGTGTACTCTCATCGCATTTATTGCTGCTATAAATAGTAGCCCTTATTCTCCTTGTAAACCACGCTGAGTTCATTTAGTAAAATCGACTCTCTCTCCTCCTATTTTGCTCTGACTTCTCTCTAGTTATTCCCGCAATAACCCCTCGGATAAGATACCCCGGGTAGACTATCCATCACCCCCATTAATATATCATACCATTGAAGTTGAAGTACTTATTAGCCTTTCTATTCCATAATTTCCATGGCCAGTCGATCAGTTCCATTTCTCAATTATTTTAATTATGTAACCTATTATTTTAATAATTAGTTCCTAAAGAAGCCAATAAGGATATTTTCTAATTGCGCAGGTTTTAGCTTTAGATTTAGGATGTTTTCTTTTGGAATGTTTTCAGTCCCAAACCAGACCTGATCAGACCAGACTTCCGTAGTTATAAAAATACACAGGGACTAGAGGTTTACCGCCAGAGGTTTACCAGACCAGCAAATTTCAGTCCAAAAGAAAACATCCTTAATACTTTATTTAAAAATTAGTTCTTTGCTATTTCAATAGTTGTTGTTGAAATTAATTGTGTGATTTGGGGTTGATTGTTATGCTATTTAGTTAATTACTTGGCTGCTATTTGCATATTTCATTGTGCTTTCGAAATTGTCCAGAATCCTAGACATTAATCTTGTGCCTTTTAATTTTCCTTTATTAGGGTGTGTATTACTGATTTACCATATTAGGTATGATCTCTCCTTGAGATTTTTGTTTTACGAATTTAGTGTTAAGTATGACTAAATATACTTGGTAATTATTGTTATCCGTTTTATTTAATGAATAATCTACTACGTAGTATAAAAATGTTCTTCAGTAAATATTTTTAAGTATAACTTTTAAGTGTAATATTTTATTTTATTTGGACAGATTAAACAATAGTAATGTGATACTTTAAAAGAAAAACACTGCCTTCATCCAATGAATGTGGAGATGTTGGAGAAAAAGATGTTTTCTGTGATGAATATCGTCAAATCATTGGTGACCTATTTTTAAATAATTGTCGTTTTTGTTACAGAGTATGTCGAAAAAAGACGTGCTTGATACCATTACAAAGAAAATCGTGATGGACCATTTTCAAAAAATGAAAACTCGTCGTGAGCATTTGTAACAACATGTAACATTTTTCGTCTTCCTAATATTTGATTATTTCGTCTTTTGAAGATAAAAATTATATGTAGTTGATAGGGACTTTACTAATATGAAGACAGGAGATAAATACTTTAGTAAAGTGTATTCTAGAAGGAAGTAGGGTCTGTTATTAGTTAAGTCTGTTTGAGCTAATGACTACCGGTAGTTATATTTCCCTACTATAAATAGAATACTATAAATAGAAGTTGAGTAGGCTGTTTAGACTTTAGACATTAGTCTTGGGACTGGGGAGTTAGAGACGAGCCTCTCTTTCTTTTCATTTGGGGGCTTCGGCCAGTTGCCTAAGGAGATTCAATAAAAGTTGCCTCTGAGTTCTCTTTTATTTCTATCCATGAGGGAGAAGGAACCAAATGAAGGTAGGATCTATCCTTTTAAATTCTCTACTCTGAATTTCCTTTCCTATTAAACAAGAGAAGTTCCACATTTCTCTCTTTCTTTTTTACCTGTACTTCTCTCCTTTCTGTTTCTTTCCAACCAAAAAATGGTGAAAAGTTTCTATTATGTTAACCAAGTGTATCTCCAGTTTTCACATCACGCATTTAGGAGGTATATATTACCCATTGTTTTGAAGCATTTGTATTTATCTTTTAGTGCACAGAGAGAGATAATAATATGTAATTTATTGAAACTACTGAAGTTCTTATTGTTTCTTTATACGTCAGTTATATCTTTCAAAACATCTATGTTTCGCTGTGGAGGGTAAGCCCATACGTTGTGTATTAATACAAAAAAATGTGCTTGCAGTTTTGCTGATAACTTTGACAAAGTTTGCGTACATGTTTGGGTATTTTTTGCCAAGGAAACATGGAAACATGTTTTTTTATTAAATGAACGTATGAGTTTCTTTGAAGTGTATGAAGCCATATGGTTGCTCACATGCTCAACTCAATGATTACTTTTCTAATTAATTAAACATTTGATGAAATTACAAGAAGTCAAGAACCAAGAACAAACACTTTTCTTAGCACCATTGATATGATGCAATATGCGCTCCAAATCACACATTTTACGAATCAAGAATATAGACTTCACCTTGAAGGAATTTTGCTTGGTGAAGGGTCGAATTGTTGAAATATATGGCCAAGAAGCATCAGGCAAGACAACTCTTGCACTTCATGTGATCAAAGAGGCTCAAAAACTTGGAGGTACATATTTATATAATGTTCATGCTTATAACCCTTGTTTGGGTAGGGGATTATCAATTGGAGGGAAGAGGATAACAATTATATAGAAATCCATGATTTCCTGAACATTGCTATTGCATAGTCTTAAGACTAACAAAGAGATATAAATAGTAAAACAAAGTCCCCAAACCAAACAAGCCCTTAATCATGTGTAATAATGTGCTTTCACGTTTCTGAAATCCTCTTTTGTTTCCCTTCGAACTCGGAAAAGTGTGCCGGTGTCAGCTTTTCTAGTTATCTTTCACCAATTTATGGTTAATTTGCAAAATTTTGGACCTATTCCTGACAGGTTATTGTGCATACCTTGATGTTGAGAATGCAATGGACCCCTTGCTTGCAGAAGCAATAGGTGTAAACACAAGTAATCTCCTTATATCCCAGCCGGATTCTGCTGAAAACCTGCTGAGTGTAGTGGATACTCTTACTAAGTGTGCATCCGTAGACGTTATTGTTGTTGATAGTGTAAGGATCTTCCAAGTTTATTCTACACACAAACTCTATGGCTGAAGTGCTAATACTTTACAAGATTGAGACATCAAAGGAAAATTTATAATGCTCATTTGACTAGGGATCTTCCGTTTGTTTTTCTTATTATTAATATTAACTTAAATGATACACAGGGAGCACTAATTTTAAATTCAGTCGAACTTCATAATCCAAAATGAAGCTTTTCATTGGGACAGAGCCACAGAGGGAGTATTTAATTCAGATAATATATTTAAGAATTCAGTAGAATCAAGTAATCAACCATTTCAACCACACATTCAGAAATTCAGCCATTTTAGGTCTTTCTTTGCTTTTCACATTCATTATCATTTATCAAGAAAACTGTAATTGCTTCTATGAAGTTCCAACCTATTGGCTTTGTACTCTATAGGTCGCTGCTCTTATTCCCCAACTTGAAATTGACGCTTGTATTGGTGACTCCTTCAAAGATGTACAATCTAAAATTATGACAAGAGCACTACGTAAAATCCATTATTCACTCTGCAATTCAAGTGCTCTTATTATTTTTATTAACCAGGTTCGAGTTTTGTTATTGGATCAGCATATGTCCTTGATTTTCTGTTTTAGTTTTTTTAAATAATATCTTCAAATTAAATAATCACTATGAGCCAGGTGAGATCAAAAGTGCAGCAACCATCTAAAAGTTTTGGATGTGCAGAGGAAGTAACATGTGGCGGAAATGCGTTGCCATTTTACGCTGCTGTGCGGTTGAGATTGATTAGAAAAGAATTGCTAAAGGCTAATGACACGGTAATGGTTACAATCTGTTTGACATTTTGACCCAATGCAACTATCTGTCCCAAAAAAGAGTCCATTTTGACCAAACAATGCTAAAGTTACATGTATTTTGTTCAAAAGGAGTCAGAAGTTTCACAAGAGTCTATGGTTACATGTATTTTACCAACCTTTACCCTTTAACATCAAGAGGACTACCATCGTTTCCTGTCTGCCAGACCATAAAGTTAGACCCTGATATTTTAAGGAACTAATAATGGGTAACATGGTGCAAGTGAGAGACTGAAATTGGCCTACATCTATCAGTCTTTCACATACCCTAAGTTCGCTATTTTTGGTTCTTCTTTCGTTACTTCCTATTTAACAGTGTAACATAGGGCCTAACGATGGATAATGTTACATAGTCAAGGGAATGAGGTGGGAACTTTTGACATGTAGGGGTATGAATGTAAAAAAAAGGCCAATTATGTATGTATTTCTATTCTGCTGCTTTCTCTTCCATCAAACAATCTTTCTTTTTACGCTCCATTTCTTTACAGAAAAATAATTAATGTCCTGGACAATGCTTTTTGATATTCTGTGTTTGGCACCATAAAAGTCTTTCACTGTTGTGGAAAACTACTACCAGTTTTAAAAATGCGAATGTCATTTTATTTAAACACGTCTATGTTTTATATCTGTAAGCTTATTTCCAATTCCATGGAAAATTATTTTCCCGGGAACAATGGAGCCTTAATAAGAGGGGTTCTGTGCATTTCTTTCTCAGATTACTGGCCTTGGGATCTCGGTGCAAGTGGTGAAGAATAAACTGGCTCATGGGGCAAATTCAAATGCTGAACTGAGACTGAAGTTTGGGAGAGGCATTTGCAATGAAATTGAGGCATTGGAGTTGGGGTGTGAACATGGAGTCATTTTGCAAGAAGGGAATGGGTATTTCATAGAGGGGGAGGTTTTAAACAGCAAAGAAGAAGCAGAAGCCTATTTGGCCGAAAATGGTGCGGTTCTAGATAGTGTTATCAAATCCTTGAGAGCACATTTGTTCAGGAGAAGAGGGGGGTCATTGTGACAAAGACCAAAATAACCTTTTAACATATCAAACAGAACCATCATATTCAGAAGCTATGTCTTTTTGGGTAGGGCCGGTGAATCAGGGCATTCGAGTGCTGGAAGATCGTTGACTGGGACATCAAATGTCATTTGCCAGTAGGAAAGAATGGGATAGCAAAGCAGTCTCATCATATGTTATTATTATCAGAGTATTATTATTATTACTGCTATTATTACTAGTATTATTGTTATTATTATTAGTTTTTTTGGCATTAGAATCCAGCTTCATTTCACCATTTTCTTTCCGGTTTTGTCCTTCAAATCAACAAGATTCCATTTAGACCATTTGCTTCCTGAAGTCTTAAAAACTGTAGTGAGATTGGCCGATTTTGTCCTTGAAATCAACAAGTTTCCATTTAGTGTGGCAAGTTATACACAATTTACTATGTTCTCCTTCTCAATCGTGTCAATAATATCTGATGCAATGACTTTGTTGACATAGGGATGGACCGCAACCGGGCCGACTGGCCTGGCCCGGTAACCGGGTCCTGGACTGGCCCGGGCTGACCCAGGTGTTATCTAGAGCGGGCCCGGGTCTTGTAAAATAGGAATCAGGCTAGTTCGGGCCTTTTCTTTTCTTTTTTGTTGTTTTTGTTTTTTGCGGGTTGGGCTGGGTGTTTTGGGGGGTTTAGGGGGTGGGGGTGAAGGGGGGGGGGGGGGGGGGGTTAATTAGAAAAGCAAAAGAAAAAAATTGAACCGGCCCAAGCCTGGCTTGTCCCGGAACAAGTGGCATTCCGGGCTGGTTCCAGGCCTTCCTCCCCCAAAAATACCTGGTTTGGACCGGCCCGGAGCTCGGCCCGGAACCGGTCCTACTCTATTTTGACTTGCACTTGAAATAATAAATAAAAATTTTGTTGTTAAGATTTGTGCAAGGAAAAAGCAATAACTTTAGCTATATATTTACTCCTTCAATGATCACACATACATTACCGTGCACATGCACAAACACACACACATGTGCACAATATAAAATAATTTTGGTAGCCCTAACCCACTGGATGGAGAGCTAGACCAAAACACTAATACAAACAAAATCCAACAATACCTAATACTTCCCTCCTCAAGACAAAAGTGATTTGGAGATGCTATGGAGCTTGTCGGGAGAAGACGAGATGAGTCCTAAATCTAATATTGCCTTATAAAAAGGTTAGTCCCCTAGCTGGTCCTTAACTGAGAGTAAACATTCTTGAATGATATTCTTGCATTTTGATGACTGAGGATGTTTTCTTTTGGACTGTTTACAGTCTCAGATCAGACCAGACTTAAACAGATCAGACCAGACCAGACTTCCGTAATTATAAAATAAACAGAGACCAAACGTTTACCAGACCAAATTAGTTCAGACTAGACCAGCCTAGCAAATTTCACTCCAAAACAAAACATTAAACATGTCACGAGGCTGATCCTTAATTGAGAGTAAATACACTTTAAAAAATAATTCTTGAAATGAAAGTCAATCTCAAAATGGTTGGTCTAAGCACATAATATTGCATTGATACATATGCATGTGGGACCAATAAGGTCGTCGATGGTCCACTGCTTGCATTGGAGTAATCCCGGCCAAGTATCACTAGGTGAATTATGCATTCCATGTATCTTTTTTAAGATAATAGAATTTCGCTACCTTTTTATGCATTCGAAGTATCACTAGGTGAATTATGCATTCCATGTATCTTTTTAGGAGATGGATTCAATATCAAGAAGAAATTTTGTATGTCCAGATCACGAAAGAGCTTGCATTTTGTTAAGGCTTAGGGGTGAAACATTCATGACCTTTTTTTATTATGTATCAACTATAAGAACATACTCCGTAATAAAGAAAACAAAACACTTTCTAGTGAGGCTATTAGTTTTATATTTAAATAAAAAAGAGCAGTAGAAATATGCAATAAAATAAAAATACCTTTTATAGAACATTGTGAAAATTATCATTATACGGAATAGTAGACACGTTCTGTACTTTCGTAATAACTAAAATTTAAAAATAATGAAATAAATATAAATTTGCATAATAGAAAATTAGAAACAATCTAAAATCAATAAAATGTAACAACTTTGCACATAAGAAAATAGATAACTCACACACACAATGACATAAGAAATCTTAATTAGTAAGAAAAATGAATACCTAAAATTGTTTTAAAAAAAACATATACCTACCTACAGTTATGTTTTGACCTATTAGGCTTGTGCACGTTTGTTGTGAAGTCAGTTTCAGGGAAGCACAAATTCCACTGGAATATAAATAAAAACAAACAAACAACTAAGTGTTCATGGGTGCAAAGCAATTTCTTAATGTATTTAAAGTGAGACCCCACTGGCTAGCTAAAGAAATCATATAGGCAGTTAAGAGAGTATACAAAGTAGTGCTAACATGGGACTTTGCCTACAAATTGAAGTATTATTCTTGTAAAACGATCCACGAGTTTTTTTTGGATGAGCGATCCACGAGTCTATGCACAAGAACTGCCAAAAACTAGAGATATTTAGAAGCTATAATGGAGAGTTCTAGCTCTGACGTACTGAAGTACAATTGGTGACGATTTTCAACCAACAACTTTAAAGGTTGTTCATGTGCTATGAGTGGGCAACAAAAGGCATGGAAAGAAGGCTGTAGGAAGATCATATGCATGTTTTTGAAGAATTCAATTCCCAGCTTTCATGAAGTTTCCTCCATGTGCAAGTATGTCTCTAGGAAGTTTTCTCACACCAAGGAACCACCTTCCTCACACCTCCATTGAAGCTTCTCCTAAGCTTCCACCCATCTTCCTCCCACCTTCCTAGTACCTAGTTTTGGTGCTATAAATAGAGAGCTTGGAGAGTCTTTCTATCATCAAGTAAATTAGAATATAGATAATCATAGCACAACCAAGAGTGTTGTGAATATCCTTGAGAGATATGTGATGTGTTTTTGAGAGTTTTTTAGTTAGAGCTTGTATGTCTCTTCTTTCTATTCTTGAAAGGAATAGAAGTGTTTTTCTCTCATATTAGTACGATCCTGTTATTCCCAACAAGTGGTATCAGAGCCTGGTTGAGCTTTTGATATTTATCCCAGATTTTTTCAGACAAAATTCTACTGTCTGAAAAATCGAGTTTTTCGGTATTTTTGTGGAATTGCAATATGAAAATACCGTTGGATTCGTCTCGTTGAGATGAGAGAACTGGTATTTTTGGAAGATTTTTGGCCACCAGAAGCTGCCGTACGCGCCGCCAAACAACGGAGAGGAACTGCATGCGTCATCACGCGCAGTCCAGAGGTAGAAGACGGCTGACGCCATCGCTGACGTCATCACCCAGCCAAAGTTGCGTCAGCGCCACGAGTACAGTCCCAGCACAGTCAGCCGCCACGTCACCAGTCCACTGCCCTCTTCCGCCAGCGCCCAGTCAGCTGCCACATCACTACCATGTCACCGGTCAGTTATAATTTTGAAAATTTACAGTTTGGTCCGTCAATTTTTGGAAAATAATAATTTCCACCTATAATATTTCGAAAATTGTATTTTGACCCCGAAAGTGCCTACCCACCATTTTCGGCCGTTCCGAACGCAACGGTGCTGCCCGTTTTTCGAAATTATGCTCCGATTTTTCTCAAACAGAAAATCAAAATTATTTAGAATGTGAAAATGACCTTTGATGAGTCAACTTCATCTTCCGGAGCTATGATTATGCTCACGGCTACCAACTACACGCTATGGAAACCTCAGATGGAAGATTTCCTTAACTGTAAAGACCTTTTTGATCCAATAGAGATGAAATGAATTAATCCTGACCCGCCCAAGTCAATGGAGTGGAAGAAAATTAATAGAAAAACTATTGGTCAAATCCGTCAATGGATTGATCATGGTGTCTTCCACCACGTTGCACAAGAAACTGACGCTTATGCCTTTTGGAAGAAGTTAGAAGATATGTACCAGGCCAAGACCGCTAGGAACAAGGCCCTACTGATGAGGCGCCTTGTCAATATGAAGCTCAAAAGTGGAACTTCTGTTGCCGAACATAGTAGTCAATTTCAGAGTCTGGTAAATCAACTGTCTTGTGTAGAAATGCCACTTGGAGATGAAATGCAATCTCTACTATTTCTTAGTTCGCTTCCTGATAGTTGGGAGACACTAGTTGTTACTCTCAGCAACTCAGCCCCAGATGGCAAACTTACCATATCTGTGGTCAAGGTTGCATTGTTCAATGAGGAGGCAAGAAGGAAAGACATGAGCACAGATCAGACTGATGGCCTTGTGACGGAGAATAGAGGAAGACCACAAGGAAAGCAACAAAGAAGCAGTAGAAGAAAGTGGCAAAGCAGAGACAAAAGTCGGGGGAGATCATCGGATGGCCGGAAACCTTCTTATACCTGCCACCATTGCGGTATAGAGGGTCACATGAAGAAGAATTGCTACAAAATGCTAGAGGAGCGAGGCAAGAACAATTCTCAAGCGAAGAACAAGGGTGGTGAAGCGCTCATCACAATCTCAGGTGATGTGGTGTATTATACTATCAATGATGAAACATGCCTTCACATCTCAAGCGAGGACACTGAATGTGTGGTAGATACTGCAGCATCCTACCACGTTACTCCCCACTGGTATTACTTCACAACTTACAAAGCTGGAGACTTTGGAGCGGTAAAGATGGACAATTCCAGTTCCTCTAGAATAGATGGAATTGGTGATGTACAAATAAAGACGAGTACTGGGAGCACAATCACTTTAAAGGATGTCAGACACAGATGATGGTAGCTCTTCTCAGATGGTTCCTACTGTTCGTAGATCTGAACGAGGACATATACCATCAACAAGGTACACATCATCTGAATATCTTTTGTTAACTGAAGATGGAGAACCGGAGAGTTTTCAAGAAGTTGTATCTCATAAGGATAAAGAAAAATGGCTAATAGCAATGCATGATGATTTAGAATCTCTGCAGAAAAATCAAACCTACGAGATCGTAGAATTTCCTAAAGGGAAGAAAGCTCTGAGAAACAAATGGGTGTTCACGCAGAAGAAGGATGCAAGTGGACAAGTGGTGAAACATAAAGCTCGGTTGGTTGTCAAAGGATTCCAGCAGAAGAAGGGAATTGACTTTGATGCAATCTTTGCACCAGTTGTCAAGATGACCTCAATCCGAGTTATACTTGGCTTGGCAGCAAGTATGAACTTGGAGCTTGAACAGATGGATGTGAAGACAGTATTTCTTCACGGAGATTTAAAAGAAGAAATTTATATGCAGCAGCCGGAAGGTTTTGAGAACTCAAATGATAACTTTGTGTGTAAGTTATCTAAAAGTTTGTATGGTTTGAAGCAGGCACCAAGACGGTGGAATAAGAAGTTTGACTCATGCATGAAGCATGAGGGATATAAGAA